TTAAGAAATTGGTAAAAAAAATACTGGCTGAGATGCTATACAAGAGTATCACCTTGATTAATTTTAATTTTATAACAATAATTTAGGAGAATCAGAAGGAAGAGTACTGACCAGATTATTATATAAAAATACTATCTGGACAGAACTAAATTTAAGTCAGAGTGATTTGGAAGAATCAATAAGAAAAGTACTAACTGAAATACTTATAATAATAAATTAGAAAATCAGTAGAAAAAGTATTGGCTGAAACACTATGCAAGAATACTATTCTAATTAATTTAAATTTTATAACAATAATTTAGGTAATCAGCAAGAAAAGTATTGACTGAGACATGTAAGAATACTATTGAGATGGAACTAAATTTAAGTTTGAATGGGTTGGAAGAATTGGCAGGAAAAGCATTAATCAATCAATTTAAATTTGTATAAGAATTGGCAGGAAAAGTACTGGTTGAGGCACTATATAAGAATGCCATCCTAATGGAACTAAATTTAAGTGAATGATTTAGGATAATTAGTAAGAAAAGCATTAACTATAGTATCAATTTAAATTCTTATAACAATAATTGACAGAAAAAGATGCTAATTTGAATTTGCATAATAATAATTTAGGAAAAGCACTAGCTGAGGCACTATACTAATATCATCCTGATGGGACTAAATTTGTATAAATAGTTTAGGAAAAGCATCAACCAAGATATCAATTTGAATTTGTAACAATAATAGACAGGAAAAGATACTAATTTGAATTTGTATAATAATAATTTAGAAGAATTGCAGGGAAAACACTGGTGGAGATACTATATGATACTACCACTATTATTAAATGTAATTATGAAATGAATTTCAAGAAGTTTAATATTATTAAAAGCAACAATATATCAATTATTGATTATTAGAAAGAAAACATCATGTTAATTGTTATATTAAGAGTAATTATATCCTATGGAAAAAAGTAAAAATCTTTTAAATTAACTAAATATTAATTATATAAATTTGAATTAAAAGAGAAAAATAAATAACCTTGGAATCTCAAAATTGTAGAACCTATAAATAAGAAAAAGATATGGAAATTCTTATCAAGAGTCAATCAAGAATAGATATTATCATTATATCTATGTTCTAAACAACAAAAAAAAAATAAAAAAAAATTAACAAATCTAGATTTATATATATATATTTAAGTTCAACATATTGTCCTTAGGAAGAATTTGTAAACTGATGAATTATTCAAGCTATAAAAAAATTGAAAATTTTTATAAAATAAGTAAGTTGCTAATTTCACAAACATTTCAATATTTTACTATTATTAAACATACTTCAATATAATAATTGTATATAAATTAATTTTTGTTTCTATAATAAGATAAAGAGTCTTATATATGATATATATAAGATAAGTGTTAAAGAAATCATTAAAAATAAAATTGTTACATATAATTTTATATGCATGATAATCAAACCCGATTGTAATGTAAGCAGTGTGCAGTGTGGCTGTAAATAGAAATATAATTATTATAGTATTCGTATGATTAATAAGGATAGAAAAAAGATTTATAAGCTAATTCTTACGTAGTATAGATCTAAAAAATATAAAAGTATATAGAATTATTTAAAAAAAAATAAAGAATAAATCGTTTATAAAATTAAAATTACCTTTATTCACTGTTCTTAATTCAAAAATATCATGCAATCAATCTAATAAAACTACATTAACTGATAAACAAAAATTTGAAACTTGTCAATATGCTCATAATAATAAAGAAACTCTTGAAACATATATTAATTGGATTGAAGTTAAATGGAATGTTTCAGTTTATAAATCACATGTTTCTTGAATTTTAAAAGATAGTCTAAAATATTTAAGTGAAGATATTACCAATCCTGATTCAAAATAGTACAAATCAGTTAACTTTCCTAAGCTTGAGTATGTACTTAAGGAGTTTATCTTAACTTATTAGCATTGAACTATTTTAAATGATGCAATCATTATCGAAAAAGCTAAATTGTTTGCTGAAAAATTACAAATTCCAGAAAATAAATTACAATTTTCTTTCAGTTGGCTCTATAAATTTAAAGAACAAAATGGAATATAATTAAGAAAATTATATAGTGAAACAAATTCTAGTGATCAAAATAGTATTATTGAAAACTTATCATTATTTCATGAAAATTGGCAAAATTTTCTTTAAATAGAATTTATAATATGGACGAAACTGGCTTGTTTTATCAGTTGAAACCTGATAATTATTGGCAACAACATGTCTCTCAAGAAGAAAAAAAAATAAGAAACATCTGTCAATAGTTTTATATGCAAATACTGATGATTCATATAAGTTAAATCCTTTAATAATTGATAAATATGCAAAACCGAGATGCTTTAAAAATATAAATCTTAATAATTTAAAAATAACTTACTATTATAACAATAGCACTTGGATGTTAACAACCTTATTTCAAAAATAGTTAAGTGATTTTGATATTAATATTTCTAGAGTACATAGAGGTCAATCCATTATACATATTTTAGATAATTGTTCAAGTCATATTATTAAAGAAGCAAATCTTTTAAATATTGAAATACTTTTCTTACCATTAAATACAATGGCAAAAATTCAACCAATGGATGCTGAAATTATTATGTCATTTAAGAAACACTATCATCGATATTATATTCGATGGATACTAGAACAAATTGAAAATAGAGAAAATGTCAAAAATTTAAAAATGAGTACTTTATTAGTGATACAATATATTATTCAAGCTTGGGATGATATTACAAGCAACATTATTTTTATTTGCTGGAAAACTACTAAAATACTTTCTGATAATAATGATAATAATAATTTTTATAATAATGAAGTTTAAAAATTAAATAATAAATTAATTACTAAATTATCTGAATCTATTAAAAATTTAAATTTTTTTGATATAATGGCAACAAATGAATATTTGTCTTTTCCAGAAAAAAATATTGTTTTTGAACTTTCTGAAAGTGATAATATTGTTTCTTTATTTAGTGAAGAAAATGATGAAGAAATTGATGATGATAGTAATAAAATTCCAATAGTAAATGTTAACAAAGTATTAAAAAATTTAGAAAATTTAAAAATATTTTTAATTCAATAAGAAGATGCAATAATTATTTAAAAAATATTAATAGTTTAGAAAAGTTTATTTATAAAAAGCGAATAGATTCAATAAAACAAAATAGTATAATACAATTTTTATTTAATAATTAAAAATATTAACAATTAAATTTTTTATATAATAAATAAAAAATTTTTATTAAAAAAACTAATTATAATTATAAACTTTCTATAAATGCAAACCTTCTATAAATACAACATAATATTCAGTCCCAAGGTGTTGCATTTATAAAGATTTTACTGTATATATATATGTATATATTTGAATATTTTTATATTTCTTTTTTTTTCTTTTATATTTCTCTTTTCTTTTGTAATTTTTTATTAATAAGTTGATAATTTAATAAAATATATAATAATAACAAATTATCAATTATAATAAAGAAATTTGAAGAGTCTTTATTCAAAGTTCTTTTCAAAGCAAAATAATATTCTCAAGATTTAATTTAAAGACTTTTTATATTTATAATGAGTTAGTTATACTGTATATTATATAAATATTTAATTATAGTATTTTTTATTTTATTCTAATAAATATATATTTTTGTCTTCTTAAAGATTAACAAACTACTATCTAACTTGATTACAAGTATTATAAAATAATAATAATAATAATAATAATTTAATTAACTATTTAAAAATTAATAAATAAATAAATAAATAAATAAAAATTTAACAATTCAATAGAAATCTATACAATATGATATATAAATATTTAAATAAAATCAAATTTCATATCTAAAAAATCATTTTTATAATTATTATAAAATATTCTAATAATTTTTATATATAAAAAATAATCAATATTTTTATAATTATCATATATACTTTTAATAATTATACAAAAAATAATAAATAAATTTATAAAAAAAATAAAGAAAAGTTTTTAAATAAAAATTTTTTTGTAATAATTGATATATAAAGCTAATCAAATAAAATAAATAATTAAAAGAGTCTAAAGAAAATTTTAAAATTTAAAAATACAAAATCTATTTCAATTAATTAAAAAAAAAATAAAATCAGAAAAAAGTTAAAATAATTCTTTTAAGTAATAAATATTAAAATAAAATCATATAAATAAACATTTGAATCTATATATCCAAATATTGTAATTAAATAAGTTTTTTAAAATATCAAATAATTAAGATTTTAAACTGTAAACAAACTTTAAAAATTTTATAGTAATGGTTTATAGACTATGAATTTATTAATTAAAGATTAATTCAAATTAGTTAAAGAATGAAATATTATTTTCAAGTTATATTTAGAGAAATAGTTTTCAATAATAAATAAGTTAACATGTAAAAGTTAAACAGTCTATAAATATTTAATAATATATACAATAAAGATAAGCCATATTAATTTGATTGTGAATTAAAAAAATATTTTCAATTTGTTTGAACAATTGAAAATCAAATATTTTTAGAAAGATAAAATAATAAGATAAAAAAATTTTTATTAATAATAAATTTTTGCAAGTGTTTTTTATGTTTTTTAAAAAAGTTAAATTATTAAATAATATTAGATACTTAAAATAATAATGATATGCATTTTTAAAGTAAATTATTATAATTAAAAAAGGTTCATTTAATTTCCTCAAGTTTATTAACTCAAACGCGCCAGGTAGAATAGTAAAGCTTGCAGATAAATTTGTGGCAATCAGAGAAAATATTTTAATATAAAAATAGCCCGAAGAATTCTATCCGTTCTAATTCGTGCAAAAAAAAAAAAAAGAAAAAAAAATTTTTTTTTATACTTGCTACAATGCGATTAAAATAACGAATATACATATAGTCCAAAAATCAAATACTTGTAATTATACAAGGTGCAAACCAGCATGCAGAAAGCAGGCTATGAAATATCCATAGCCTCGCCCTCAGTGACGATAACTAAATCCTTTATAGACTCTTTAAGAAAAGCTAAACGCCGAAGATCAAACAAAAAATTCATTAGTCATTACAATTTTTTTTCGTCAATATTGTGGTTTAAACGAGTATACAAAACACGCACCTGTAGTTCCACGCTTATACTTATAGCTTTGCTCTTTTTGCGCACGTTCGTTAGGTTTAGCATAGTTCCTCAGGATATCTGTTTTGTCTTTTTCAAGTACCACGACATCCACGTTGGAACCAGACCCAAGATCGTTAAAGATACCAGCTTCGATGGCATCTCTAACGAGATCAATGGCATCTTGACGCTGTTATAACAAGATGGGCACTTAATCTCTGCGTATAATGAAATTTTTATTTCTGAATAAATAAACCAACCTCCATATCCTTCACCCATCTACTTTCGAATATAGACATTGCTGCCAACGAACCACTACCCATGGTCACATATGGCAACTTATCAGTGCTTCCGTGAGGATGTACGGTGAACAAATTAGGCCCGGTTACATCATAACCACCAACTATTAATGCGGCTCCAATGTAGCCCTGATGTCTAAATTAACCATTGATGCATCGATGGCATATAAATAAGAGGCATATAATATTATAATGCATAGTTGCAAATGTAATCACCAACCTAAAAAGCATTTGCTTCAACATCGTCATGGCGGTTACAACGCGAGCCTGTCTTCCAGTGGTCAATCGATGCAATTCCAGCTTTGAACTAATCAATGCAGTTGTGTATTCGGTATCGGCGGCTGTACCGGCACCGCAACAATACATATTCGGAGCAAGGTAATGAATCTTTTCGCAATTTTTATCTGCCACAATTGGTCCTTCAGTCGCACGTGTATCTGCACCTAAAACAATACCATCCTACATATAAAAAGAGGGAGGAATTTGCAATAAGAAAATGTTACTTTGGTATCCTAAACCCTGAGAGTTTTATGGAATTCTTATACATTTGCTGCTCTGCTCTTTTTTTAAAACTTGAGTGAAACAAACCTTAAAAATTAACCCAACGATTGTGGTTCCAGTTTTGATGGCTTTGGGTGGGGTAAGACCTTTCTGTTCAAGAGCAATGTTCCTACGCAATATTTATACGCATATTTAAAAAATCTTGAATTTATTTGTATGGGTTATAAATTATAAGAATACCTCTGATAATTATCGAAATTAAAACCGCCTTTTGGTGGAATCACGTTAATTGCCATCTCGGTGTAAAATGCGCGTGTAAAGAAAAAGGATTAAGAGGATAATCGAAATAACTGCGTTAATACACGTACGCACATATTGGGCACGTGACAAGGTTTACTTCAGCGAATCATTATGCAACCAAATTTTATTTTATACAATACAAAGACATGCACTGTTAAACAATTGTAGAGGTTAATTTCGATAATGACTCATATGATGAGATCATGAGAGCACAACTTATTGCGACCTTTGTTGTTCGCATCGAGCCACCTTATAGATAATAGGTTTACTTATTAACTCAAACCATCGCACTCCAAAGGTTTAAATAAAATTTTCACACACACCTTTAAACAACCCTCGAAAACCTTCATCCCGAACTACTGACTTCATAATAGAGATCATATTTCTGGTTTCCGCTGATTTTTTTTTAAAAAGATGTTGACTGAGATGTAAAAATTTCGATACCATATGGCAATTACGATTACTTACCTTCTTTTCCACTATTTGAACTAATCTGTCGGACGGTTTTTGCAACATCGAAAGGTTGAGTCGCGATGGCAGAAACCTTTTTAAAGCAACACAATAAAGATACATAATTCTTGAATACAAAAGTTATTTGTTAAATGAATTCTGATCATACCATTCCAGATGTGGCCCCACATAAAAAGGCGACTTCCAGCGTATTGAGTGTTCCTTCGAGATTATTGTTTTTCAAGTAATTGTTTAAATTTCTTTTTAACATCTCATAACCAGTCCAATATAGAGCTAAGTTATGGTTTTGACGATCAATATACTAAATGGTAGAAATGATTAGATAGATATATATATATATATAAAGGCTTACCCGAGAAGGGTACATCGCGAAAGAGCGACGATTCCAAACCGCGCCATAATGATGATATTCCATTCACCTTCACCATGTTTCGCACACCACCCACAACTTTTCTCGCACCGTGAACACCTTCAGGCCCTTGCATTCTTGTTCGTAGTAATTCCAACGGAGATACAAAGGTTACGGCAAGTGCTGCGAATTTCATTTAGTTTATAAGAATACAGTCGAAATTCCTTGTCTTACATAGCGTCATTAATGTACTTTTTTCTACCTACTTCTAGCCAAGACTCCGGCTACCATTGGAGAATAACTCTCTGAATATTTCCATTTCCAATTCTTCCATAAAGTGTCCCTCAAGTGATCATATCCTACAAAATAGATCACGGTCGTGGGAACAGACATTACACTAGATGGGTAACCAATAATCAGATACAGTGATGTAAATCAATCCAAATGAAAAATCGAAATTAAACTAACAGTGCCGGGGAGAGTCCTTTCCACAATGATGTGATCCCTTCGTTACGAACAATTTTTACTGCTATATCCTATCAGACGCTTAATAATCAGCAATCGCATCACATCACAGGAATGATCAATTGACAAGAATAATCTTTACCCATGTTCCACCAAATCTATTCTTTGCAAGTTGGTTGTGTGCTATCGTCGCGTTCGTAGAAAAGCAATTTAATGGTGATGCCTTATTGGATACGTGCTGATGTAGACAAACGTATTGTTGCGGCGTATTTTGCGCCACAAAGAGAACTTCTCGACAACATTTAAGAGGAGAATGCAACTTTACGTTTGATGTAGGCTGCTGACCTTGAGATTGAAGCCTAACTTTAATAACATCAAAGGGCGTTGCTTTGAAAAGAAATATCATGTTAATATTACTCATTCAAATAGTCACGAATACGCAAAATCGTTAACTCACTGAAAAGAGAGGTCAGCAGAGATCCGCTGCATGCAGCAATCACCTTTTGCATTGGAGTTGCGGACTGCTGCGGCAATGAATCCTCTGCTACATTGCGAGTTTGTTGTTTCTTGTTCATTTCGTCTTGAAAGCAATTACTATTGTTCAATGTGAGCCTGCTCTTTTTACTTGAACGTTAGACCTGACTCTTGCGACCTCCAATGCAACTGAGTTACGGAGATTATTAATCGCGTTTTCACGCCATGTGAACATGGTTACGCATCATCTCGATATAAAAAAACGTAATTTTAATTTAAACGCATAATCAAATTTGGAAAGAATCGTCGCTATAAATTATAGAATAAAAAATTTTTTTTTAATCCGCAATCAAAATTTAAATTAGATACTTTAAGTTAGATTTAGGAAATAATATTTGATAAATTAATATTAGATCTTTTATATATCAATATCATTGATTATTTCAAAAACAATAAATTAAAAGATTTTTAATCAATTTAAATCTATTCAATTATAATATTTTTTAGTTTTGAATTATTTAAGAAATTTTTGTATCAATAATATACTAAAATAATTTATTTAATCAAGATAAAGAAATTTAATGATTTTAATTTTTTTTTTAAAAAAAGTTTTTTTATTATTTAATAGATTTAGTAAAAGATAAAAGTTAATATATTATTTTTTTTGAGTACCCACAGTCAAACTAGATTATAATTTATTAATCAAGTAAAAATATAAATATATTTTTATTTAAGCAGTATAATATATTTATAATAATAGTTTTTAAGTTTGATCTTAAAAATATTATTTTGCTTCATAATGGTTTTTAAATAAATAATCATCTAGTTCACTACTTCATTATTAGCAAGCTATTACTATCAAATAAAAGTTAACATATTATTTCTTTATTTACTTTTCAATATTATAATTGTTTTTTTATATACTTAATTAAAAAAAATTATCTTAAAAATTTTATTTTATTTATTTATTTTTTTTTTCAGGTTAAAGGTGCTAATAGCATATGATCTTTATTGAATATAAATGCTTCAATTACATGACTATAAGGTCCATTTAAGTTAACCCACACCTCCACCTATAGCCTTACCCAGTCGTACGAATTAACCACTCTGGAAGTGGGTCCACACATCTGAGTGGGATCTTTAGGAGATAAAAATATTATCACTAACTTATAAACTATCTAACCTAATCTAGATCCTGACGGTTGTCATTTGGAGCGTGTATCTTTCAGGGTTGGTTAAAACATCCAGATAACCCATTCAATACTTTTTACCTGAGACCTCAGAGAAAATACTATACTCTTTGTCACCACCTGCAGCTTCGAATTTCCTTTTTCATCAGGTCCTCTTCTTTTAAACAAGCACCGGATTGAGATAGCCTCAAATTAGGGTGTTCTTCTTTGTGCTACGGAGTCTGCCGTGCCAGGGGGTTTTATGGGTTTTATATGGAAGTTAGACCAGAAGCCTTTTCTCATGCAACCTTTCCTGCTTCGACCAGTTTTTCAGCCCTTGATCGTTAGAAAGACCAGAGGTCCCATCTTCATGCAGCCTAACCTGATTAGAACTTGTTCCGGATGATTGGGTATGACTTTCAC